GAAGGAAGGAAGGAAGGAAGGAAGGAAGGAAGGAAGGAAGGAAGGAAGGAAGGTAGAAAAGGAAGGAAGGAAGGAAGGGGCAAAGTCTAATGAATTCTATAATTTTGAGGTGTCCTAGAAGGAAGGAAGGAAGGAAGGAAGGAAGGAAGGAAGGAAGGGACAAAACCTAATGAATTCTATAATTTTGAGGTGTTCTGGAAGGAAGGAAGGAAGGAAGGAAGGAAGGAAGGAAGGAAGGAAGGAAGGGACAAAACCTAATGAATTCTATAATTTTGAGGTGTCCTTGAAAAGGAAGGTAGAAAAGGAAGGAAGGAAGGGAGGAAAGTTCTGATATAAGGACCATTTCTTTCCCTGCATTTACAGCGGTTCCGAAGTCCGAGTGTTGCTGTTCAACGTGACCGGAGACCGGGATACGGCTGCTTTGCTGAAACTGTTGCTGGTGAGTAATTTTCCTTATTTCCACAGCCTCCTGTCCCTCCAGCTGGCGCGCAATTCCTCAAGGATATATGCACAAAACGGGACTGCCGCTGCTTGACACCCCCCTTCACTCTTTCTCTTTGCAGCCCTGCCATTTTGATTACGCCGTTTTCTGCCCCAACTACACCGAGGTGTCGACGGTGGGGAGCGCAGGTAGGTGTTGAGGAGGGGGGGTCTCTTGAGGACCAAAGGGGTCTTCAGGCTTTTCCTGACATTATTTGCAAAATCCTCGGGCCTGGAGAGGTGAGTATGGGCCTCATCCTGACGCCTCCCCTCTCCTCCTTCGTTTCCGCACATCTTCTGCAGACCAGCAGAACTTCAACGTCACCTTGGAGAACGTCCTGACCCGCTGCCTGCAGAATCAGAACCACTGGAATCGTCTGATGGAGGCCAAGTTGACGCAGGACCCGTGGTTCCCCGTCTTGCCCGAGGTGGGGGGCTGGCTGAAGCAGCCCCCGCTTCACAGCCCGCCTCTCTTCGCCGCCTCCTCGGCTCGTCCGCTCAATTCCAACTCCTTAGTCTTCCCTTGCATCTCGCACGCCTTGCAGTGGGTCACGCAAGGCAGGGACCCACACTTGCCGGCGCTGGCGCCCCAGGGACTCCACCCGCACCCCGTGGCCAGCAGCGGGGCCGTTCTGCTCAAGGAAGCCGTGGCCATCCGCGTCCTCGTGACGGGCAGCCTGCATTTGGTGGGGGGCGTCTTGAAGCTGCTGGACCCCAGCCTTTCTCAGTAGGCCTCCGGGAATGCCATCTCCTGCCAACACGGACAGGGCAGTAGAGACCTTGAGGTCCTACTCCTATCCATGGTGTGGCACCACGGGGCGCGTCCAGCCACGCCATTCCTGGGGGAGCCCGGCTGAATCCTTGACCCAAGCGAATTGAGCTCCAGACAATTACAGTTGATGGCCATCTAGCTGATGGTTGAACGTCGATGGTTGAACCGCTTGAGGTCCAGCTGCTCCACAAGCTTGGAGACACGGTTCTTCTTCTCATAACCGAGGGAGGACCCTCTTGTGGGATCAACCACCTCCTCCAGCCTCGAGCAGTGGACGGGAGGCATCCATACATGATGTTTCTCAACACAACCGAGGCCAGATAACAAGCCCGCCACCGCCTCGGAGACTCCCACGTGCCTTCTCAACGCGCCCATTCCTCGTGTCTCTTCGATGTTTCTCTGCATTTTTTCATCCCCGTCTTTGTCACTCGCTGCCTTGATCCATTGGGCTACCCTTTGGGGACGCTGCTACTCATTTGTCACAAACTATTTCTCCCCCCCCCCCCTTTGAGCTCCCCATCTCTGCCTCTGGATCCCATTTTGGGGTGGTGGACAACCGAAGGGACCAGTCGTTTGGGTTACGATGCGTCTGGATGCTTGGTGCCCACCACAATCTGAGGTCCAGAACAGCAGGCTAGCTGGACCCACACTCTTGAGTAGGGCATTGACAGCCTTGGGGGGGGGGACATCTAAGATCTAAGTGCCTTCTTTTTTTGGGGGGGGGGAGAGAAAAAAAGAGTCACTGTGTTCTTCCAATGAGCTTCCAAACTCTCTGATTTCTCTGCTTTCAATAATTTTGGGGTTGTGGGACCAAGCCTTTCAACCCAGCCCCCCCCCTCCTGGAATTTGGCTCGACAATTGCCCAGATCCATTCTTATTAAAACACGGGGAGGGGGCGTCAGATTACGCCTCCCATCTTCCCACCCTCCAGGCAGTGGCTGATGGGAGCTGAAGTTATAATAATATAATATAATAATAATAAAAAAGTTGGAAGGGACCTTGGAGGTCAAATTGGGTTTATCTGGGGAAGGGGGAGCTGGGAGAAGAGACCCAGGTTTGCTTCGGGGGGGGGTAGCCTTTTAACCCAGGAAGGGGGACAAGGGCTAAGGCCTTTCAAACTTTTTCCCAGGGAGGAAGGAAGTAATAATAATAATAATAAAGTTGGAAGGGACCTTGGAGGTCATCTAGTCCAACCCCCTGCTCAGGCAGGAAACCCTATACCATTTCGGACAAAGGGCTGTCCAGTCTCTTCTTAAAAACTTCCAGTGTTGGAAGTTTCCCAACTCCAGCTTCTTTAACCCACTGGGGGGAATTCTGCAGGAGGAATGAGGTAGTTTGAGGTGTGTGTGTGGGGTGGTGGTGGTAGGGAGGGGTGCGTGCGTGTGTGGAAACCTGATCAAAATGTTCCTCGTTTGCAGCCTTGCCTGGATGGCCTCGTCTTTAATTTGGGGGAACTTTGGGTGTTCTTAAGATGCCTCCGTGCTTTTCCCATCTTTCTGCAAATACTTTGGGTTAAGAACTTTTTTTTAACTCTGCTGGAAGGCTTCATTTTTTTTTAATCCCTTGGGGCAGTGAGAGTAACGAAGGGAGGGGAGGTCCTATAAAACTAGTCTAGCTTCTCTTTGCAATCCCTTCCCTTCTTCATCCTTCCCTTCTTTATTCTTCTTTTTCCTTTCCTTTCCTTTCTCCTTCCCTTCCCTTTCCTTCTCTTTCTCATCCTTCCTTCCTTCCTTTCTTTCCTAGTTCATATCCAGGATATTTTCCTTTCCCTTCCCCTCTCTTTCCTTTCCTTT